CTCACATTGACTATATAGAATCTGGAAATTGGGTTCTTTTAGTACTTGGGTTCCCTTGATTGTTAGTCAATTTGTTGGTTTTGGTTTGCTAATTCATGGATATTTATTTTAGGTTGAGTATGATTTAGAGAATATGAAAGTTTAGTTTTTTGAATTGGGTTTTTGTTATAGCAACTGGAATCTAACGACACCTTATTGATGCAGAGATGGAAAATCAATCAGCACATCCACACACCTTGGAGACTGTGGGCCATGCTTTTGTTAAACAGTATTATGACCTTTTCTGTAAACCTGAATATCTTCATAAATTTTATCATGAGTCAAGTGTTCTATCCCGCCCTGAACCACATGGTAAAGCGTTGAAGACAGTGACAACCGTGAAAGTAAGTCTTGTAAAAAATGTTAATTGTGACTCACAGATGATCATCAATTCGTTGTTACAGCCAGTGACAACCGTGCAACATGAACCCTTTTAATTGGTTGTTGCATAATTTTTGTATTTTAATCAGAGTGTACATAGTCTGATGAGTTAATTGGATGTTTATTTTGAAACAGGACATCAATAGCATGATACTCTCCTTGGACTACAATAATTATCATGTACAGATTTTGAGTGCTGATTATCAGTTTTCATTGAACGGCGGAGTGATTATCTTAGTGACCGGGCATTTAACTGGAAAAGACAACGTGCAAAGAAAATTTACTCAAACTTTCTTTCTGGCCCCACAAGACACAGGATTCTTTGTCTTGAACGACATCTTTAAGTACGTAGATGGTGTGGTGGAAAATATTGTTGTTGATCAAAGTACTCCAGAAGCTACTTTGGCTCCAAATCATGGTACGTTCTATGAAATATAGGGTGTAGATTGTTTGGTTCTTCTTATTGCTTCACTTTCTGGTAACAAATTTATTTATGGGTATTATGTCATTAGTTGTTACAGAGCCTTCTGCTGTTGCTGATCAACCTGTGCTGAATCAAACTACATCTGTGGAGGTTAATAATACCAATGGAAAGGAACTTAATAATACCCATGGAAAGGAAGCCATTTATGTGTTGGAGAATGGTCAAGAAACTGTTACAGAAAATAATGTTGTTGCTGAAAATCCTGTTGAATCAAGGCAGAATGTTGCTCCCCAAGTAACAGAGGCAGCTGCTTCTAACACACAGAAGGATGCTCCAAAGAAATCTTTTGCATCAGTGGTGAGTTATGGTTTTGGTTGTCTTGTATTTGGTATCATGAGACTTATACATATCATCTGACGGTTTCTTGGTTCAGGTGAATGCCTTGAATGGGAATAACGCTCCATTCCTTATGAGGACACGCCCCACTAAACCTGTTGAGCAGCCTCGTGTACCTGTAATGCCAGAAGCTTTACCTCCCCGAAACAATAGTGCCCCGGAAAAGAATAATGTGCCTGCAGGTTGATACTTCTTTTGTGGTGTAGTATTAAAATTTATCTGTGTGGTCCTGCCAAGAAATGAGGTGTTATATAACCTTCTCACTTATAGGAAAATAATTCATTCTTGTATCCTTTCAACTTATTGTTGCAGGTAAGTCTTATGCCATTTTCGTTGCCAAATTGCCCATGAATGCAACTGTTGAAGAATTGGAGAAGGTTTTTAAGCAGTTTGGACCCATAAAGCGTGATGGTATTCAAGTGAGAAGCAATAAGGTATGATTTACCTTTAGTTGGTGTCCATCTTGAATTAGGCCTTTTGGTTTTACTACTATTTACTTATTTTGTATTACACTTGTATATCCAGCAACAGGGAACCTGTTTCGGTTTTGTAGAATTTGAATCTGCTAAAGCCATGCAAAGTGCACTTGAGGTATAACTTTTGTAGTATGTATATTTTTGTCCATCAGTTTGAATATGTGCCCTTTTGTAGTCTTCATTGTATTTTGTAAGATTTATTCATTTTCTTCAGAAATACAAATTGTTCAAACAGTGCAATGATTTTATTTCTATTTGCAAGTTGATATACAGAACCGTATCTAACATGTGACGTGCATGTACTGTTTCAGGCATCTGTCAAATATGGGAATTTTGAGCTACGTGTTGAGGAAAGACGAGGCAAGTTGAAGTGAAATTTATCTTTCTTCCTAAATTATGTGCTTTCATAGAATTTACTCTCTTTTCTCCACCATTGTCTTCGTCACGAGAAGATAAATTAAGTTGAGGGAGAAGAGATGAACAATATAGAATCACTCTTAAAATTTTAAATGGTTTAAGTTTTCAGTTTTAACTCATCCCATATTTTCCTCACTGCTTTCATCTCATTCTCATCTTCATCTTGCAATGCTGTTTGCTGACGGTCTTTATTATTGCAGCGAACGAGAGAGGAAGGTATCCTTCAGGAAGGGGTGGGCACCGAAATGACAATTTTAGAGGCCGCGAGAACTATACCGGAGGCCAAGGTTATGGAAGAAGTGATTCTGAGAAGAGCGAACATCGGGAGTTCTCAGGTCAAACTAGGGGCAATCCCGGTCGCAATGGAGAAGCTTATCAGAGGCCCTACCAGAATGGAGGAAAAGTTGCTCGTCAAACGGGAAAGGTGGCGACATGAATTAGGTTGCAGCAGCAGCAGCTAGCTCTTTCAGTTGATTAGATTCTTATTTACAAGAATTTTCCTTCCTTAGTGAGATCTCATAAGTTAGGTGTTTTTGGTAGAGGCAGAATTTAGAATGCGGCATGTTTTAGGTCTTTGACATTACGAGGTTATTGTTTCCTGTCTTATTTTATTTGCATTTAACTTTAATTTTTTTTTTGTAACTATATATATTTATTGAAATAATTATCATTTCGTGTTGCTAGATCGAATAATTGGTGTGCGTGAATTTTTGGCTTGGCTTAGGTTTATTCATTGCACACTTTTTTTAGCCATGGGCCCATACGTGTGCAGTGCAGCAGCAGGCCTTGTTGTCATTCATTCTCATTTCAAAAGTTAGAGTAAAAAGCTACCGTGTCTATTACCAACACGTGGCGGTCAGTTGTGTCGGAGAATCTTTCGTCTCCACATCAACACCAATGACGTGTCCTATCAGATCATCCCCTATTTCCTCCTTTTTCTGTCTGGCCATTTCTTTTCCTGCCCTTTTGTTTTTCGGTCTTCCTTTTACGAATGGAGCAGGATGTCTTGCTCAAATAAGAAAAAAAGATAAAAGAAAAGAGGAGATAATTATTTGGGAACTTTTTTGACAAAGTGACATTTTAAACTATTATTGTGATAAGGATTGAAGTCGGACTCTCGAGTGTAAATACTCCGTCGCATTATCCTAATTAACTCGCTTGTAATTTGGAGATTTGGAGATTTTAATTTCCATGATAATTTGAATTTAGAATCTCTATTTTATCTTATCTTAACACGTTTGAGTTCAGTGTTAAAGGCTCCTGGATTATCAATTATTATTGCTTTACAATTACTCCTTGTTCTTGAAATCGAAATTATGTATAATAATAATAATAAAAATTAAGAAAAAAGAAAAGAAAAAGGAAAAAGTTGGCTATAAATATACAGGCGACATGTCGCTCTCATGAGTTGGTGATTGCTATACAGAACAGAGAGTAGAGTAGAGAAGAGGGGACCCCCACCCACCGGGGCACGTGGACTTCCTCAGTCCATCCGACACGTAGCAACACCTAGTTCTTTTACTATTTTCTATGGTGGGAAACTGCAACTTGTCACGGCTGGGTCCCACTGCCTCATTTACTCATGAATAATAAGAATCATGATGACATGTTTTCTTGTTTGGAATTGGAATTGGAAGCACGTGCATCACACTCTACTCGCCCGATTTATACTTGATGCCCCCTACCTTAAAACTTTGTTCCTCGTTGACTTTTTTCTGCGGATAGATGTTGACCACAACAACACCGCAGTTGTTTGAAGTTTGAAGAAAAAAAAAATTAAACAATTAAAATCTAACTAATCTCGCTTTCATGGTTCATGACTATATATATTTTTTGTGTTGTGCAAATGTGTCAAATGGAAGATAAAAACTCTCACATCACCAAGTATATGCAAATATTATGATGTTAATTTCTCTTGTCATATAATCAAACACGATGTAAAGTAGATAAATTTATAAATACATCTATTGTCGTAAAATAAAAATGAAATAATTGACCTTTTATATAAAAATAGGTAATTAGTCAATTGTCACTCATGTGGCATTTGGCACTTGTGTTATCTAAATCCACAAAAGTTTTAATTCCTAAATCAATTTACCATATATGACTAAAAATTAAAAAAACTCCGTAATTTGATACTATTTTCTTGGGAGTTTAGATTGGTGAGTTAAGTTATATATAAAAAGATGTATGACATATAAATTTGCATTGAAAACATATTATAGATATTTCAAATGTGAATTGAGTCAGTTGATCAAGATAGTGTGTTCGTCTCCTTACAATTGAGTTAAATCACCCTGTTTAGACTAATTTAGAATACGTCTTTGTCAAGAAAACATACTCTTATATTGAAACATAATTTCGAGCAATCCTAATTAAGAATATAAAAATCATAACATGTTTACTTTCAGATCTGCAAGCTGTTAATATGTGAAGATGAGAGAGAGAGAGAGAGAGAGAGTAGAGTTCGTCAAATAATTGAAGACGACAGCTAAGGCTTAAGGGCGACCAACAATAAACAAACACGACTAGACGAGTAGAAAGAAGGGCAGAGACAACCCCAAAACCTTCGCCGAAGCTTTTACGAGGCCAAACGACTCTCACCCACGTGTCTGCTAACTGCTGTCCATAGGAGATCGACACGTGTGCTTTTCTCCCTCCTTCATTCTCCTCTCGACACGTGTCTCGGCCAGGACAACTTACTGTTACTGGTAGAGACGCCAAAAAGACAATGCCAGTCGGGCTACGTGTCTCCGCGGTATTCCCCGAGACGGCCACTTGGCTCCCCCAAGTACTTTTCTTGTCAAAACGCCAAGGGTATTATTGGAACACAATAAATTTTGCCAATCTCTCTCTCTCTCTTAAGCAAGTCTCTGCTTGCCTACTTTCTTTCTTTCGTTTTCCTCGTTCTCTCTCTCACTTCTTCTGTTTTTCTTTTGATTTCAGTTTTTTTCTCCTCTGTTTTCCCCAGCGAGTCTTGCCGGGATTTTCATGTCAAATATCTCGGATTGGTCACTCGGGAAATAACTCATCAGAGTGAACTGATGGCTCATAAAGAAGCAGAGAGAAACGGCTTTGTTTGTTGGGTCGTTTCTAATTTGGGATTTGAACTGAATGCGAGCGTTCTTGTATTATCTTGAGACCTGAATACAGGTTCTGATAATTTTAAGCAAGTTTCTGCATATGGGTTATGTTGAAGCGGATCAAAGTTCTGTTTTTTTTAACCTGCAGAGACATATATAGCTGCTGAAGTACTTAAAAACACATACTTTTTATTTTTTTTATTTTGTTTTATTTTTCCCTCTGTGCTGGAAAACATGGGTGAAGCTAATGAAGAGCGAAGGAGAGCAATGGAATATCTGTCTTTGCAAATTGACAAGTACCCAAGAGATCTGCTGCAGAGATTAATGTGTAGCAGCAACACACAGCAGTCGCAGTATGCAGAGCCTAGTGAAGAAGAAGAGTCAGATGAGCTGGAGTTAAATCTCGGGCTTTCTTTGGGTGGCCGATTTGGGGTCGACAAGAGTTCCAAGAAGAAGCTAATCCGATCTTCATCCATTGCCGGAACTATGCCGTTTGTGAGAGACGACAACGACCCAACGACACCGGCGCAGGTGTCGTGCCCGGCGAGTCTGATGAGGACATCTTCACTTCCCACTGAGACAGAGGAGGAGTGGAGGAAGCGGAAGGAGTTGCAGACTCTGAGACGATTGGAGGCCAAAAGAAGAAGGTCAGAGAAGCAGAGGAACTCAAACTCAAGCAAGGCTGAGAAAGAAGGGGTCTCCTTGGAGGAGGAAAGGCGAGAACTTGAGGGGGGGCCCAATTTGAGGGATAAGCAGCAGCAGCCGTACGATGGGGCTAGTAGGGTTAATCGGACGGTGGGTCCGCCTTTTGTGTTGCCAAGTTGGGCTGCAGCAGCAGCTGCTAGGCAAGCTTCTGTTGGTGGTGGAGTGGATGCACTGGAAAAATTGAAAGCTGAGATTTTGGGTAGTTTACAGGGATTTGGAGGACAACCCATTTCGCAGGGTTCGATGGAGTCACAAGGAGGAAGCTCGTCAGGGATGTCAGAATTGGAGAGTAAACCTCTTCAAGGTATCTCATTTTTCTTCTCCTTGTCTCAACTTTCTGTTAACTGTGTTGGTTAATTTGAATTTTGATGAATTCTTGGATTGAAATTCAGTTGTTGAGTGGTTGATTGATTTTGGGTAGAGCTAGCTTTATGTGCTCTACTTTGCTTTGGTTGGTTGGTTTGTTTTTTGTTTGTTTTGGAATAGGATTATAGGACAAGTCTGCTTCATTAGCCGATGGCGTCTTAGGTTTTCCCATGTGGTATCTTTTGTTCTTTGTTGTAGGTTGGATGTTTTAATCACGTGCTCCCGTCCTTAAGTTAGTTAATGGAGAGCGATGCCAAATTGGTTGCTAAGAAAATTTGGGAACAAGAAAGAGTGCAGTATTTTAAATGTCACGCCATGTACTGTTTTCCTTTCCAAAAGATGAGTTATTACCTTAACAAATCTAAATAGTTGTTTTAGGTTCGGTTTGGTTTACTTTTCAGAAAGTGAGTGGAAAAGGATTGCAAAGGGTTACAGAGAGGCGATTTTGATAGAGAAGGTAGAATATTTAGTAAAAGCAGTGAAGTGCATTCTGAATCTGATGCATGAAAATGAATAGTCTGCAATAATGCGTGCGACATTGAAGGACACGGATGCTGATGTTTTTCAGCAATCAGGGCCAAACCAACCTAATACCTTACACCCATTAAGAAAATCCAACACTAAAATCATGTTGCTACCATACAGAAATAGAGCTTTGAGCTTTTGGTGGATGCTCCTTTTTGGAAATGTGTATATGTACTTACCTTAAATCACTAAAATGGTTATATTAAGTGGAGTTCACTGCACTGGAAATGTGGAATTAGTTCAGTTTTTGACCCACATGATGAGTCAGCAACCTCAAGTTGTTTGGGAATTTAGGTTGGATTTCACTTTATATCGCATAATGGTAGTGGTTGCCAGGGAAGGGGCCAAGAATGTAAGTCAAGAAACAGGCTTATATTTGTTGCCTGTTAGTGTTCTTAGTGCTAAACTTCTCTGGTAATGTTTCACAGTAAAGCATTCCAGTTGGAACACTTACTGGTCGTATATAACTGGTCGTTAGTGTTTTCCACCGAAAAATATATCACTCATCAAAAGAACATTTAAGAGAAAACCCACAGTGACTTATGTTCACCTGGATTGTGGACAAATCAAGACGTACTGGTAACTGGTACAAGCAATCTAGGGATAGGGATGTAAAGGTCACTGATTCTAGTGCTCTATGGAAGTTCTTTTCCTTGACGTTGCACATCGAACCTGCGAGTGACTCTGAAATCCTCTAGTGGATGCATAATCTTTTCTGACCAAAATGAAAAATATGCAAAAGCAGAGATCATTGCTTACCTTATCCTACTGTATCCTTATGCTGTAGCCAGGTAGTCTATGGATTTCTTTCTTGACTGACGCCAGCTTCTTTCTATCTGTTGTCAAGGTGAAAACTAAGAGTTCACTTACGACAGATTTATATGTAGTTCAGAGAGGTTCTTGCGTACTGTGTCACTGGAGAATGTTGCTTTTAAATTTCCAAATTGCTAATATCATCAACCTTGTGAATTTGAAATGAATAAGATTCCGCAACAGGTAAAGGGGATGGAACAAAAGAAGAAAGACTGCTCTGCTTCTTTTTCCTTATAGTTTTCCCTTAACATCACAGGATCCAGCAACTGTGGTGAAGCAAGAAGCCCTGCTAGTAACCAGTTGTTGCAAGAACGAAGTAATCAAGACACTGTGGGCTCTTCAGGGACAGGGACAGCTGAGGATGCATCCGGAGCTTCCCGAGCTGATGTAGAAAGCAAGTGTAAGAAGCCAAATTCTTCAGAGAAAAGCGGACGGGAAACTAGGACGAATGCTATGGAGGACATGCCTTGTGTTTTCACAAAAGGAGACGGTCCTAATGGTAGAAAAGTAGAAGGAATCCTATACAGATATGGGAAGGGAGAGGAAGTAAGAATAATGTGTGTTTGCCATGGCAGCTTTCTCTCTCCAGCAGAGTTCGTGAAGCACGCAGGAGGGAGTGATGTCACTCACCCACTTAGGCATATAGTTGTAAACCCTGCTGCCACTTCCTTTTTGTAATGGAGTGTTCCCTTATACTTTATGCCCCTTAAAATAAGGGGATGTAGAATGGAAACAAAAGGAGATGATCTAAATCTGATAGCTTCTTTTTCTGATTTTGGTTGATTCTTGGCAATAAGTTCTAGAAATGGAATTGATATAAAATAATAACTGTTAGTTTGGAAAAGTTTTAAATGCACCCCTTCGTAGTCTTGTGTCTGCTATTCATTCCAATTCCAATTCTTGCAACTAATCCCAACATCATATTTTCCATCATGAAGATAATCACCATTTAAGAAGAAAAAGAAAATACAAATTGGGGAAGCATAAAGCAATAAACAAGAGAGGGGAAGACTTAAATTTTGTCCCAGTGAAGAAAAGTAGGTAGCTGCTGCTACCAGTGGCGGGTTCATTTTAGAAATATGTGTTCAGCTCCAAAGATTTGCTGCTTGAATACTTGGCTTCTTGCACAAAGGTTGAGAAGTTCATAATAACTCCCTTCTCTATCCTGGTTCCAGCTTGTGTAATTGGTATGTTTCTCACTTGGATGCATGTGGATGCTTTGTGAAGCTTGCAAATTGGTTCCCGGTATAAATGAGGCTGAAGGGAAAATGAGAAGTTCGAACCTATTGAGTGTAAAGGTAAATGCTCTTTACTACGACTCTTACTCTACAAGGTTTCCCACCTCGACAATTGACTTTTGACTTGTTTGGGCTTGGCGGTTTTGGGTATATGGGCTGCCTCTTTTGTATCTCTTTAAGATTAGGCATGGCAACAACATGTTGCATGTTCGTGTTGTGTCATTCGCAATTGTCATATCCTCAGAGATCTCGCTCTCTTTTTGTTAAAACTCTATCTCTCTGAGTCCTCTTCTCTTCTTCACAACACCAAATTGCTGCTACAATTCTGTCCATTTCTTCACCACAACATGTAAGCCCCTAAATCCATAATTGAGCTCCCAATTCAGGTAATTTATCTCCCATGATAGAGTTTTTTTGATTAATTGTGTATTTCTGTTATAGTCCTATATCTTTTATTTAGTTAGTCCGATGTTGTTAGTTCAAATATTTTTTCTTCAGCTGATATATTTGCAGTAGTGTCTAATGATTAGGTGTTTCTTGTCCACATTGTGGGCTTATAATTTGTTGGTAATTTTTTTCATTTAAAAAAAGTTGGCCTTTTCCCAACAAATAAACCCACCACTCCCTCTGATCTGAAATCAAGGCCCAATATATCCCAAAAAATGGAAATAGCGCATCGACACGATTGCATTAGATTGCATCAACCAACCAACTAGGCATTGAGATTTCCATATCTATTTGGTCACCTACTTCTACTAGTGCCGAAAGAAAGAACACATAGATGATTATGTTATGTTTATAAAGAACAACAAAGAACCACAGCTCAGCTACAGCCTACAGGGTTATGTTACAAGTAGGTCATCTAACAAAAAAAATTTAGATCAGAATGAATGATACTATTATCAAGGTTTTATAACTTAGCGGGGCACACCATGTCAACCCCCATCCCATTCAGCAGGTTTTCCATTTTCTTTTTTTTCAATAAAAAGGCACTTTTCAGAGGCCTTTGCAAACAAAGCCTCATCAGGTCCTGTTATTTGTCAAATAACAAGACAGAAAGTTGCAACTTAATTCCAGAAACGAAGTACGATGTCTTACTGCTGCATTCACAACCTGAAGCAGGGCATACTAGGGAGAAGTAAATGACTATAGATAACAAGACAATCAAGCACTACCCATTTTTCAGTTTGGATTATATTTAAACTGCAAACGAACTGAAACATACTTGTATAGATGCAAGGTTCAAAAAATTTCTCAGCTCAGGAGAATATGCTTGTTACAACAGCAACAACAAACTGAGAACCAAATTTGAGGGATCCCCAAAATTTGACTGCGCACAAATGTACAAATGACAAGCAAGTCATACCTTCTATACTTCTAGGGTTATGGTCTACCTCTACACTTATACTCTGGTCATTACCTGGCTAGCCTGAAATAGGTTGGATTCGCTTCAACCTTTGGACAACTTGCTTCATTGTAGGCCTAATGGAGAGGGTCTCAACTGTGCACGTTACAGCCAAGTACAGCATCTCTACCAGATCATCCTGGGGTCCGGCATCCCATAGCCCTTCCATGAAGACCTCCTTAGCACGACCCATTCGTAACAGCATGCATGCCCAAGAAACAATGTTGAAACCATGGTCATGTGAAGAAAATGAAGGGTCCAAGGCTTCTTTATCTGAAATCAATTCAAGCAGCACGACACCATAACTGTAAACATCAGCCTTTTCAGACACACGACAAGTCATAGCATACTCTGGTGCTACGTAACCAAAAGTCCCTGCCACACCAGTTGTTGCATGTGTTTCAGAAGTTCCCAAAAGCCTAGATAATCCAAAGTCAGACAAATAGGCATTGTACTCATCATCTAACAGTATATTACTTGGCTTGACATCACGGTGCAGGACACGCGGAATACACTCATCATGCAGATAAGCAAGTGCATGGGCTATGTCCAGAGCAATCTTGTGGAGAATATTCCAATTAAAAGGTCTTCTAGATCTTTCCTTAATAAAATTTTCCAAATTGCCTCCTGGTAAATAATTATATATGAGCAACATCTCAGTTTCACTGGCATGGTAACCTATTAAAGTCACCAGGTTGGGGTGTCTCACCCTTCCAAGGGTCTTAATCTCAGCATGGAACTGTTGAACACCATGAAACCTTCCAACAGCAAGCCTCTTTACAGCTACAATGGTTCCAGGACCGATTTCGGCTTTGTAAGTGGCCCCAAATCCTCCACTCCCGATGTAGTTGCTGGCATTAAAATTCGCTGTTGCTTGAACAATATTCTCAAACGTCAATGGAGCCCCAATATCTGTAAAAACTGTCATTTCTTTATATTCAAAACCCTGAACCCTGGAATCTGGTATCCATTTTCTAGTGTAAAAGAAAAGGACGACAAGAGAGAGCAGAACCAAAACAACGGCTGATGCAGATACTATAGATGCAATCTCAATTGAGTTTAATCCACTATTGTCCGCATCACCAACAGTTTCTGATGAAGAATCAGGGTGATCTTGTGGATTCCCAGAGCTATCTGGTTGATCTGTTGATGGAGCAGTGAGCGAAACAATACGGCATGGATTAAGGAAAGGGTTTCCAAGGACACCGCTACAGTTCATCACACTATTGTTAAATGGAAATGAACCAGACAGGTTATTGAAGGATGCATTAAATGTAGATAGTGATCTCGCCTTAGTCATTCCTGAAGGGATGTGCCCAGAGAGTTTATTGTCGTCAAGCAGAAAAACAGTTATGTTTTTCAAGTTCACAAGACCTTGTGGAATATCACCAGAAAGAGAATTTGAAGATAGTTTTAACACTTCAAGGGATTGTAACCTCACAAAACTAGCAGGAATTGCACCAGTAAGGTTGTTATTAGCCAGGGACAGATACTTAAGATACTTCAAATGACTGATATCCTCAGGAATTTGACCCTGCAACCGGTTCCTACTCAAGTCAAGAAAGACAAGAGATTTCCAATCCCCAAGATCTGGAGGTATTGACCCAGATAATAGATTATCAGAGACATCCAGGAACCTAAGAGATCTGCACATCACTCCAACCTTGAAAGGAATGCGACCTGATATCTTGTTGTTGCTAACATTGATAATCATTCCATGTAATCCATCACATTGCCCTAGTAAGCTTTCAGGAAATGATCCAGTGAGTTTGTTCCCACCAGCAAGAAATGCATAAACAGTCCGCTTCCCCAATCCCTCCAATGCAAGAGGGAGGTGTTGGATTGGACCAATGAAGTTGTTACCACTAAAATCGTGAATCATTGTGAAACTAGCACCAAAAAGTGGTAAATGCGTGTCAAGCTGAGTTCTGCAAGCAAAGAGCAATTGATATGCAACTGATGGATTGTGGACTCGGACAAGATCTGAATTCGGGGGCACCTGGGGGCACACTCTGTAACTAAACTCAGGGATAGGTCCAGACATGAGGTTCCCACTAACATTGAAAACGGTCATACAAGGAACTGGAAGCTTCTCATCAATCTTCCCACTCAGCTTATTTGAGCCCAAATTCAGATAATGCAGCTTCTTGCATCTTTCAAATACTCCAACAACTTCTCCACTGAAAAGGTTCTGAGCTAAGTTCACCATTTCCAAGTTCTCACAACCACCCCAATTGCTTGGAAGCTTGCCTTCAAGGGTTGCCCTTGGCGCCCAAACTATTTTCAAATTTGGCAGGGTTGTAATTTCCTCCGGAATGGAGCCTTCATAGTAATTGTAATCGTCCTCCTGACCACTAGATCTTTCAACTGATGAATCTTCATTGGTATTCTGATGGGATGTCAACGGATTAAAACGAGTTGATAGGACAAGAACGGACAAATTGACACACTGTCCAAGCTCAGAGGGGATTGAACCGCTAAGGCTATTCCTAGAAACATCTAGAACTTCAAGCCTTTGAATCCGACCAAGTTCTCGGGGAATGACACCATCCAACATATTCGAAAACAACAAAAGAGTCTGTAACCGCCCACAATTTCCCAAACTACCTGGAATCCTTCCAACAAGGGAATTCCCTGACACATCAAGCTGTTCAAGATTCCAACAATTATGTCCAAATTTAGATGGTATAGACCCATTTAACCTATTTTGAGACAAATAAAGCCCTCGCAGCTTTGGAAAACTACCAAAGAAGCCAGGAATGGTTCCACTGACTTCATTACCAGCTAAATGCAGAACCTCCAAATTCATGCATCTGGAAAGCGAAAAAGGAACCTCGCCACCAATTCTATTAAACCCAATATTCAAAACCCTCAACTTTCTCAAACCTGAGAACCGGTTTGGCAACTTTCCGGTCAACAAATTTCCCTCAAGATCAAGCACTTCAAGCTTCTCTAAACCCCAAACTACCTTAGGAATTTCGCCATTGAGTTCATTGTAAGGCAGCGATAAAACTCTAAGCTCAGTGAGCTTTCCAACCCAAGGTGAAAGCTTTCCAGCTAAATTTCCACTACTACGTGAACTAGTCCTCCATACCCCAAACCCATTAAACGGAAATTGAAGTTTCAAAGTCTCAGAGCAA